CATATATCAAGTGTTGTAAAAAGAAGGCTCTAAAAATAATGTTTTATAAAGAATGTAAAAGATTAAACTTCAAATACTCTAAGAACAAATTCTTTAATTGTTGCTTTCTGGACAAGGACACTTCTTATAAATGTCCATATAATTAAGTAAAGGGTTAACATAAACCTTAAAGTCCAAAAGACAACAAAAGACAAAAAAGAAAACACAAAAAGCAACAACAAAAAAATATGCGGGAATGCGTTTATATTCGTAGTTGTTGAACTTAGAAATTGCAGATCCGTTTTGAAAGAGTTGTTTTTTTTATATTATACACTTATTCTGTGAAATCGCTTTTTATAACTTATTCTTTTAATCATGTTGAGATTAAAAAAATCTATACACATTCTAATTTGAAGAAGACGACAATTTTACAAGAAATTTAAGTTAATCTGGCAGTAACAAATATTGATAATGGTATGATATGAAAATGAAACAACTTTACAAATATCTTAAACAAATATAATTTATGGTTGGGAAGTACAAGTCGTTTCCATCTTTTATAACTTTCGTAATGAGTTAAACATAAACACTGACAACAAAGTATACATACAACATTGATATATTGGGCATGCCCAGTTTAAATTGTGTGTAGAATTGTAACACGATTGTGTTAAACTTTTCTTTGCTTTGAGAATCATTTTCAAAATATTTTTGTATCTTACTGTTTAATATGTCACCTTTGCCTGTTTACTTGTTAAAATGAGTAATGAGTTAAGATTGTCTGGTCAATCTTTACTCTGTTTTAGTTTGCTACAGGCAGGTGACCTGTCGCCTTTTTCTCGTATGAAGAAGAAATAAAATGCTGGGAGATTTAGGTAGCGCAAGAAAAGAAGACAAGTAAAAAAGAGCACAGTCAATATTAAATAAGCTAACAAACCATCTCACACCATCTTTAAAAGAGAAGTACACTTCAGCAGGGTATAAATGTATCAGTAATATTTGAATACTGATTCAGCAAAACATTTGAGTAAAACACATTTCTGTTTTACCATTTACCATTCATAAATATTTTATTTCCATTACATATTGAATTCAAACCATGTCATCGGAAACAACGACCATGGTCTAATTATAGATATCCCTGTTTTTTGTGTAGAAATTGTTAGAAACCAGACATTCGTGCGTTTAATGAATGACAGTTAATTGGCCAGCAGGTCACTCATTTAAAGATGGCGAAAGCGATTCAAAGACAGAAAGGGACAAGGAAGAAAGCGAAAAAGTGCCGTGACGATAGTAGCGTCAATTGCAAAAGCGCTTATGAGAATATTTTTCATTTGATATTTTTTTCACAAGTGAAAATAATCATATTGTTTAAAAATTGATATTATACCGAGAAATTACTCGAAAAAAGACAGGGAGAGGAAAGTGGCCGACTCTCTTTTTGAAAAATAGACCTAGAAAGTGAACCCTGTCTGTCTCGCTTCATCACTACAAACAAAAATGTGTATGCTTAAAAAATCTGGAAATCGGGAAAGTTTTTTGAAAAAAATAAACAACAAATAAAACAACAATGACGCCGTTTTTCATCATTTGTTTATTTAATTAATTTGCAATGTCATAAATGTCATTTATTGTATTGTTAGAATGCGCCTGGTAACATACCTCTTACTTTTTTCACAGAATTGTTATTTTCAATGTATATATAAAGGAAATATTTGATATTGTATCTTGTAAGATCGTGTATGTAAATTAAACGATGTGAACATTAAAGTAACAGACAGCTCATTTTTATGAAGATGATAGAATTATGAGAAATCTTATGCTTATGCATTATAATTTTTTGGGAAAAATACGTATCAATACAGAACGCGGAATGTATTTCATATACATATAATATAATTACAGTACAGAATGGAAATATTTATTTTTTCAAAATGTATTTTTTTTTCAAAATGTATTTTTTAAGATCATTACATTACTAATATATAATATGGTAACGATCTAAAAATTAATGACAAAAAAAATAAAAACGATAAATAATAAATAGAAAATATAAAATGAAATTTTATCTAGACTGATTTTTGTACACCGCGCAGATCACAAAATGTCGCTTGGTAATTAACACACACACACGCACGCACGCACGCTATTGTTATCATACACACCTGTCATGAGGGTTTTATTATCTCAATTGTAAGGAATTTTGTGACTGCTCTCAACTCAATATTCTGACATTCAATTCATGCCTATGGGTTATAGTCTTCAAACAACAACTAAAACCAAATGTGCACGTGTTGAATGAACGGTTGTTATCATTCAAATGACAAAGGATTGCACTGCACCAAAATGAAGATAAAATATGTATAAAAAATAGCTCTTCGGACTATTTGAGCTCCTTTCTTCCGAATCTAATAATTAAAGGATATTGATGACCGAGTTTATTGAGCATGTTGAATAAAAAAAAAGATGATGCGCGTCTATAAGCTGACGGCACCGCTTTGAAGATATGTTGCTGGTCTTATACGATTACCTCTAATTGTTTAAATTATTATAGCTTAAAGTAATTATAAATTGTTTACCTGTTTTAAAGCAGCATATTCCTAACAATACCAGACACAGATATGATACCGAATAGAAATTCATCTGGCCACAAATCAGAATCTTTCTTTTTACTCCTAAATCCCGATTTTAATGTTCCAAATACGAGTTATAATTGTGACACAATTTCTTATGTAATCATTATATAATCTTATGTATTAGAAGTACGCATGGTGATTACTTTTAGTTAAAAAAGTGCACTAGAAGATTAGTACACATTGAGTGCATTTCGAGTTAAGATGTAGTGCACAAGCAGTACACACTGTGTGCATTTGTAGTTTAGATCTAATGTTTTAGACTTGCGCAAGGATATTTTCTCAACTCAACAGTGCATTATGTTAAAAAACGATAGTTCCGGGTCGCTCGTATACTGCTCCAGTCATATTTTGAGTGTCAATATCATTTACACATAAACAGGACAAAATCCTTTTTATGAGAGTATATTTTGTATTACTTTAACCACAGGAACATTATTTTAAAACAATGTCGGACGGGAGCAAAATCTCGTTTTGAAATACGTTATAAATTGAAATATATACTTTAATTAAGAACTAACAAATAATTTTCACCAAATAATTAATACATATGAGACAGTAAACAACTTCAATTCGAATTCAGATTTGCTACTATAAAATTATTATTTAGTTACCTTTAATGAACTAATACAGATTGCTTTAACAATCAAATAACAAGAACCGGTTGAACCGGGTGATGCTCCCCGAGAAGGTTCTGGACACGGGAAAGTATAAAAAAATAAACAAAGGGCAAAAACTCCAAAATTAGGCAAGGCGGAGATATGTTTTTTTGCACTGCACTTCTATCAATGAGATCTATCTATCTATAAAGTTTCCTGATGATATCCCTTATAGTTTCAGGGTACTGTCCCGGGTAAAATTCAAAGTGTAAAAATGAACAAAGGGCAATCACTTCCAAAATTAGACCAGGCTTGTTTAGGTTCTTTAAGCATTGCAGTTCTATTCAATGAATACTAGCTACCTACAAAGTTTCATGTTGATATCTTTAATAGTTTTAAAAGTTTATGTCCCGGACAAAAGTCAAAAAGTAAAATGATGAACAAAGGGCAATATAACTTTAAAATAAGGCAAGGGCAGAGTAATGATTCTCAAACAACTGCACTTCTACCCAATATAAGACCTATCTATCTATAAAAGTTTCATGTTGATATCTCTTATAATTTTAGAGTAATGTCCCGGACAAAGTTCAAAGTGTCAAAATGAACAAAGGGCAATAACTCCAAAAATAGGCAAGACAGTGTTACAGTTCTTTTGCACTGCAAACCTACTTCATGAGATCTATCTAACTACAAAGTTTCATGTTGATACCTCTTATAGTTTTAAAGTTATGTCCTGGACAAAGTTCAAAGTATGAAAATAAACAAAGGGGAATAATTAAAAAAATAGGCATGGCAGAGTTACGGATCTTGTGCACTGCACACCTACTCAATGAGATCTATCTACCTACAAAGTTTCATGTTGATATCTCTTATAGTTTAAGAGTTATGTCCTGAACAAAGTTTAAAGTTTAAAAATAAACAAAGAAGAAAAATTCAAAAATTAGGCAAGGCAGAGTTACGGTTCTTATGCAATGCACACCTACTCAATGAGATCTATCTACCTACAAAGTTTCATGTTGATACCACTTATAGTTTTAGAGTTATATCCCAGACAAAGTTCAAAGTGTAAAATAAACAAAGGGGGATAATTAAAAAAAATAGGCAAGGGAAAGTTACGGTTCTTGTGCACTGCACACCTACTCAATGAGATCTATCTACCTACAAAGTTTCTCTTATACATTTAGAGTTATGTCCCGGACAAAGTTCAAAGATTAAAAATAAACAAAGGAGGATAATTCAAAAATTAGGCAAGGCAGAGTTACGGTTCTTGTACACTGCACACCTACCAATGAGATATATCTACCTACAAAGTTTCATGTTGATACCTCTTATACTTTTAGAGTTATTTCCCGGACAATGTTCAAAGTGTAAAATAAACAAAGGGAGATAATTCAAAAATTAGGCAAGGCAGAGTTAGGGTTCTTGTGCACTGCACACCTACTTAATGAGATCTATCTACCTACAAAGTTTCATGTTGATACCTCTTATACTTTTAGAGTAATGTCCCGGACAAAGTTCAAAGTGTAAAAATAAACAAAGGGGAATAATTCAAAAATTAGGCAACAAAGAGTTACGGTTCTTGTGCACTGCACACCTACTCAATGAGATCTATCTACCTACAAAGTTTCATGTTGATACCTCTTGTTGTTTCAAAGTTATGTCCGGACAAGAAAAGCGGACGGACGGACGGAAAGACGGACGGACGGACGGATGGACGGACGGACGAACAAGGCGGCGACTATATGCTCCCCCGAAATTTTTCGGGGAGCATAATAAAAATTAAATTTACCTAATAAAAAACAGCATGCACTTTGTATTCCTAACAGTATAAGGAACAAATTTGATTTTAAATTGGAATTCATCTGGTCCAACTTCTAAAGCTATCAATTTTGTCTAAATCCTGTATGCGTGTTCAAGTTCAAAATGAAAAGAAAAGTGACTAGGTATCGCGTGAAAACATCATATGGCCCGTACAATTTTGTAAATTAAGTCATTCATTTATTATCTTAACATCTAAAATGAGCGGCGCTAAAGTGTCCTAGTTGTTCTACATCATTAAACGAAAATATGATAACAAGAGAGGTTTTACGCACGTGTAAAATGTCTGCGAAGGTATGGTCAAATGTGCAAGGTATACTTTTAGAATAGCCAAAAAATGAAACGAAGACGAATGTCTTTTTACATCTGCGCAGTTGTTGAAATTAAACGGGAAGCATAACGACAAGAACATTTCATTTCGTCGTAGTAGTATTGAACACGTTTTATACTGTGACATGATGTGTTACCTTTAGTCAATTACGAATTGTTCCATAAATCCGACACTATGTATCTTATTTATATATAGACAGGTCTAACACGCTCGTAATGGTTTTTCTTCATGCCTTAGACATTATTAATGTTATCCCAATTAAGCGATATCTAAACTTTTAATAATGGCCAACAATGAAAATCAAATTTGAGCGTAAACATAGTAAACATGTATAAGTCATAAATGGAATTCGACACGTTACAGCACTATCCAAATCATCTGAAAAGACAAAATACAAAACTTTATAAATTAATATATACTTTTACATTTTTTCAAAACAAAGTAAACAAATGGATATATTGTATTACAATCTAAGCAACACAAGTGTGTTTTGTTTCATGCGAAACAGTTCCTCTTTAGGTTTACCTTTGCTATTTATAGATGAAACGTGTTAACGAATGATAAACTCTTAGCCGGGTTTCACGATATTAAATCTCCGTAAACTACAGATAGTTGCACTGTACGGAGATAAGAAAAACATTGTCTTTTCATTAAACAAACGTTTTGAAACATAGATGGTCCTGAAGTGTAAAGTTGATGACTGTGAATGTTTTTTTTTATACTTTTGTTTTTATTGACGACTTAGAACTTAATCGTGGTATTCCGCAGTAAATCATACGTATTATACAAAGTTCTAAAAGACTAGGCTGCTTTGCAGCCTAATAAATAGAAAAGGGCTAATTAAAAAATTATTAACAAAAAATTATAATGTTTCCATAATCTTATGATCAATTCTCGAAAGAGAGTTATAACACTTAATGTCTCTTTTAGTTAATATTCATGAAATAGAATAAATGTTTCTGAACATTATTTAGCTTTTTAAAGTAAAATTTAAACCGTTCAGTGATATTTTTGCGCATGCGTCATTCTCTTTTTAAGAAATATATGTATATTTTTATTATAAAATATTTCTTTCATACCGGTATTTTGGAATATCTTTTTTTCCAAAATTTAAACAATGATCATTGCAGCAGATACATATATTATATTATATTATATTGAAGGAGCATGATATTTTATAATAGGAGCATGATATTATATTATAGGAGCATGATATGATAGTAAATTAATTTTATTCAGCTTTAAAAATGTTAGTTCATACACAATTGTTTATCTTTTGTTTGCATCAATCGTCCATAAATTGTTGTCGTTATAATATCTCTGAAAAATCTAATTTGAAACAGTGTTGATTATTGGAATCACATGTTTCTATTAATATATTATTATGTACAAGTATACTTATTAACTATATTTTATGAAAGAATCATATGTGTTTAGTGTAATAGAAATTTTGCACTGGTTATTGGTAAAATCTTCAGGGATGTTATCTCTTTCAAACTTGTTTAAAATGTTCATTATGTAATGATTTATGCATTTCAAAAGGTATTCAATATTTCGAAATCATAATTTGTAAATATAATTACATATAATTGTCAGGTCATTACACTACCTTTTGTCCCTAAACGTGATTACTTGCTCGTTCTTTTGCAGTAAAATTTATATTCTTGCTGAAAATTGCAGGCGACATATTTTAATATTCTCTTTTTGGTTATACCAACTGATCGAAACTTACCTTTTTGACACAAAGTTATGTACGTTAACCCCCTAAAGCGTAGCAGTATATCATGTACATGTATGAATGGTTGTTTAAAGGTTTACAAAGGAGCTAAAAGATGAAAGAAACAATGCCACGCGAACCTTAATTGGCTGATTCCCATTAGTTAAAAAATAACCTCTATACCTCTGACCTCTAAACAATGACAAATTTGCAACGGCATCCCACAAATGGGTGATAACAGTTAACTCTAGAAAATGGTTCTTTTTTACGATGATAGACTTTATCTACAGAAAGAACAAAGGACACACAGGCCTCTCGCGGAAATTGTCTTTGGGAAAGAAATTTTAGTTTTATATTACTTTGAATAAGAACCTCCAAATCAACTTAATGACTTATCTGTAATGGCATCAGACAAATAGTGGTAAAATGGAGAAATACAGAATCTCTAAAAAAAGCCCAACACGACAAATTGAAAATGTTGACTCGGTTTTGTTTGAGCCGGTTCATGGACGAAACTAGAAAGTGCAAGTTACCGTCCACTCCTTCTAGCACCGGCTTAAGGTCAGACGGTTAGCTCCAAGCAGAGACATATACATACAGAAGTTCGTAGCTTCTTGTTTTCCTATTTGCCGTTTTTGCGATTTTTCACATGCCGTGGGAGTTTCAGAGACTCGCAGCAATACCTGTTAATCGACGCCACATTCTACCGATCAATAAGAAACGTGTATTTTGAAAATATTTTTACTTTATTTGTTTTTAACAAATTCACCTAAACTTTCGTCATGTTGTTTCTCCATCCAACCAGACCACTCGTCAGTCGTCAGTCAGTTAGGTTAATATATAGGTTAGAATCAGTAAATTGAAACGATTAATTATGTCAAATAAATAAATAGATAAGTAAATAAATAAATAAATAAATAATTATCTATCGAAACCTTAAAAATGACAAATACAAGTTAACTTAGGTTTACTTGCGGCAGAGCATCTTTTTTAAAAGATTCTCTTGTTTCCTCTATTTCAAAAAAAACCAAAAAAAAAAAAAAAAAAAAAAAAAAAAAACCAGACAATTTGCTTATCTAAACATTATACTTTCAAACATGGAAATGATTGGCGAAATTGCAAACTTCAATTAAAATAACCATTACGAAAAAATACCGGAAATAAAACAATTATGTTTTACATAGATCAAAAAAATGAGATTCATTACATGCCATAGCAAACAGTTAACAAAGACCATACAAAACAACACGATTGTCTTACTTGTAGCTACACTTTTATTACTCAACTTTTGATGATGGACCTTTCAGGTTTTACAGTTTAATTGAAATTGGGTGACGGCTTGTTCCGTCGCTACACTGGAATAACGTATGGCACAGCCTACCCTTGTCTAAACTCAAGACCATTTGGTGCTATTAGTGATAATTGACCTAGCCCTTGGAAAAGAAAAGGTTGGGGGTAAACTTTTTTTTTTTTCTAATTTCTTCAAAAAAAAACCATACAAAAAATATCCTTAAAAAATGAAAAAGATGATTATTTAATTTTTATGGGAAAACTTTCAAAAGTTTTCATTATTTTTTATTTATCCCCAGTTCCCTGAAGAAACCTTTATTTGCGTTTTAAATTTTAAATACTTTTTGCTTTATTGTAAGTAGAGCGGAAAGGGGCTTAAAATTTTTTTGGGGACTGACTCCCATAATTTTTGATTGACCAAAAGGGGTAATATTGGGAAAAATTTTTTTGAAAAAAAATAAGAAAACTGCCTTTCAAACCGGGCGGATTTTTTGGTCCATTCCCAAGGTTCACGTGGGGCCCCAAACCCTTTTTCCCAAAAAAAGAAAAAATTAAAAATATTCCCGATTTTATTGATGTTTTAAAAAGTAAAAAAGTTAAAAATATGTTTTAGGGTTTTCAATGTAAAATGAAAGGAATAAATTCCCCTAAATTATTAACGGTGACCAAAACAATGCCATAAGATTACATATGTAAAGTTTTTTATAATTTAAATTTAACTTATAACATAATTATAATTATTATTTTAATTGATTTATCATGTAAAAGTAATCAGACACAATCAAACGCAAGAACTTTCAATGGAGCCACATTGTAAATAAATGCAGGTTAAAGGGATAAATGAATCAAGAAAAGTTTGAATACCATTTTACTTACGTAAATAAAAGGGAACACAAAGTAGCGCGCGCCAATATAGACCGTCTGTGGAGAAAGCCATTGAATCCTACTTGCCCTGTAAAAATTTGTAACTAAGGTTTCTGTATTGACACGGAATGCTAATCAATGCATAAAAATAGAATATGATAAAAAATTGAAATAAAAATAAGCAATTAATCAAATTAAAATTATCTGTTAAATAAAATATCGAATTGTTTCCCTTATTATTGTACTGTTGTTTATACATTTAGCTCCAGAAATTAAAAAAACAAACAAACAAAAATCAATACATAAGAATAATCAGTTAACTAACTAAATATCCACAATATGAAAAAAATCATCAAATGTTCTACGATATATTGTTCAATTTAAAAAAAATCACCGTTGAGTGGTTTATGATACATTTAGCTAGACCAGTACAGTCCGTAAGAAATCGCCTTACCAAAAAGGGACCATGTGGACCAATTTAAATTGTGTGTAGAATTGTAACATGATATTTTATTTTTTTCTTTGCTTTGACACTCATTTTCAAAATAGTTTTATATCTTACTGTTTTAATATATCACTTTTGTTTACTTGTTAAAATGAGTCATGAGTTAAGATTTACTGCTAAATCTTTACTCTGTTTTGGTTTGCTATAGGGAGGAGCCCTGTCGCCTTGTCCTTGTATGCGATCGTGTGCACGATGTTTTGTATTTCTTTTAATAATTCATTGTGTTCTGTATTAGAAACTTTTTTGCTGAGAACTAATCCAATAAGAAAAAACAGGAGCATAAATTGCAAGAGTTACTTCATTTTTGTTTCAGTCTGCACCTGAAAAAGAAACATTTGATAAATTAGAAATACAGACTAGTATTAAAGTCAATAAAGGATAAGAGTAGCGGACGTTTTGGCTTTGAGAGCAACGTACACTAAATGTAGCTCTAACGCCAGATATACTGCAAAGGTAACAAGTGACACATCGAGCACAAACAAACACAAACAAGTGTTTAGACAGGAAAGACACTAAGGTGTTGAATTGGTTTAACGAATTTGGTATCATTAATTGAAAAACATATAAAATAACAAGATACAAAAAATAAATAAATGCTGGGTGTTTTAGGTATGCAAGGAGGAAAAGAAAGTAAAAAAGCAAGTCAATTATAATAAGAACAAACCATTTCAACCATATCTTTTTAAAAGAGAATACACTTAAGCAGGGTATAAATTCAGTAAATTTGAGATACTGGGATATCAAAACATTTCAGTAACACACATTTCTGTTTTACCATTCATAAATATTTTATTTTCATTACACATTGCATTCCAACCATGTCATCTTAATCAACGACCATGGTCCAATTATAGATATTTTTTTCCTTTGTTGTTTTTCGTCTTCGGTCAGTATCTCCCCCTTTGCCCTTGTTCTTCTTTCTTAAATTTACCCAATATCATATAACATTTTTTGCATAGATGCTTTCCTCGAGATCGACCCAGACATCTCTTTTTTGTCGTGTATTGGTGAGAAACGTTGGTTTAAAAGGAAAGTGTAAGTAAGCTGAACGTTTGAGTAAAACTATCTACATTGTAGTTGATAAGCCTAACCTAGATTTACCTATATTTCAGGTAAAGCCGAAAGATAGTGATGATGCACCAAAGTTACTTCACCGTAATATGCTACTCCCATGCATGGGTCTCCAGCTACAGGCATCTAGTATTTCCATTTAACCCTGTATTTCAGACATTCCATCAGTCGTATCCGCCAAATCCGATAAGTATGTAATTCCTGCAAGACGGCCACGAAGAACTTCTAGAGTAAGAGATAAGCCACGCTGAACGACTGATGATTAGAATTTGAGTAGGAAACGGTAGTACAGATTCTCAGACAGATGTCAAATTTGATTTCGTAATTTTTTGTAAATTGTTTTATAAAAGATGAGAACAATAAATTGTTTCAGTTGAGTTTTGCATAATCTTTATTTCAAATTGTCAGTTGATGGTTTACTGTTGTTTGAGATTAGTGTTTATTCATATGAATGCATGGTTTCGTAATATATATATATGTAAGAATGGTAACATTACGACATAATTGTTGTGCTTGTGGTTTTCAGTTTTAACTTTTCGGCATTATCTAGTTGGGTCGTTCCAATATTCCTATTTGAATAATGTTGAATCACCCTTTGGATATATATGCTGCCTGCTTTTAAACTATGTCTTTTGACGTCTTATCTATGATATACATGCTTCATAACATCTGTCCTTCTTTCAAAATTCCATTTTATTTCGTTCCGCCCATTGTTTTCTCGTTTAAGGCACACGGTTTTTATTACTTGGGGACCATACGCCGCTTTTCATTGTTCCATGATAACCGCCATATGTACACATCTGCGGATGTTTTTAAATTCAAAATTTTACCATTTCATGTATAAATGTTAAATTCTGCTTGAGCCGGTGCTTAGGGATGTGGACGGTAGTTTGCACTTGACAGTACCGTCCATGAACAGGCTCAATCCGAGCCTGCAATTTTTTTTCAATTTTGTCGTGTTGGGCTTTCTTGTTTTCTCTATTGTATTTTACCGATTTATAAAATTTCTTCAAAGAGATTTGACAAATTTTATTTACTCTGAAAGAGTTACTTGAAATATTGTGTAATGTGAAAACGTAACACAAGTTTTACAGTTTTGTTGATGAGTCAGTGTACTTACGTGCATTGCTCAATATCCCCAAAGAACGCGTTCACCATTCCCAACAGTGCTTCGGGCATTTTTCTGATTGTTAATGCCTTACAGCATTTTCAAGCAGTATGCATTACCTTTACTGGTAATTTCACTGTTAGGGCAGAAGAACTTTAACGAGTCCCATGTCTTTAGTATTAGTCTACTGTAGTTAGAGACTATGATTTTTTGATATATATGCAGTTATCAGTAATTTTTGTTTAAGAGTTGAAAATGTCGGTACGCCATTTTATCCTTGGCGGGGAAGTATGTCACAGAGTCATTTTGTCCTTGCTAGAATACTCTTTAATTCATACCCATATTCTATATCATTCCCATATCGTCTCTTTTTTTCAATCATTCATATCATTATTTAACTTCATTTTAATAACTTCATTTGCCCTGTAACACGTTGACTGGCCTCATTCACTTCATTTTTGAATTCGGTCACGCTAACCTTTACGCATGCGCACAAGAAATGATAACTTATAGCGAGAACTGTTCTTTTCTCATTGAATCCGTATTTCTATCATATTGTGTGCCAACAATATATTGACAGGTATGTTTGATGTTATCAAAAATTTGTAAACATGAATTACTATAATTACTACGCTAATTACTTTAAATTACAACTTCATAAGACTCTTATAAAGCGATTTAATAATTTAAGTACAGTCTCAACTGTTAAATCTAAAATATCGAACGTAAAGTCATTCTTAATTGACCGTATTGATCAATTTTCTGTTGATCACACATAAAGGAACACACATTGCTTTATCAATCAATTGAACTTTATTTACCATTTAATAAAGTATTATTAAAGGATAATGCCTTGCAGACATCATAGTCAAATTATACAACATAATTGAAGTTAACTTTTCCATTCTGCAGCGAAAATGTCAATACCCATTTTAAAGTAATGAATAATCTTTTCAGCTATTACCCATGACATTTTGAAATTATAAAGCAAAACAATTAAAAATACGGACAGTTGACGTTGAATTTAGATAATGGTCATTCTTTATGCGGATCGACTGGTATAAAAACTTACTTTGTTCACCTACGCTTATAATTATGTCTTTAAGATATAATGATAAAGTTATGAATGTATCTATATGTACAAATTCATATCTTAAATTTGCCAAGTAATACATAAAATGCGATTTCTTTCGTGATAAATAGTTCAGCTTTTTACAATTGGTCCGAAGTTATGTTGTACTCTGCTGTTTGTACATTAATTATCGATCGCCCACAAGCAAGGTTACAAATATGATAGACAATGTCCCAAATAATATGTAAAATAGACAAACTACCAGAAAGTACGCAGAAGGGCATCAAGAAATTGCTGTTTGACCTTAATGTACACTCATTAAGACATTGCTATTAAAACTAATTTTATAGATATTGGAATATTAAAGTTGGAAAATGAATATCGTAAATGATAATGCTTCGTGTTTGTTCACATAATTATAACCGTTGTGTCTTAGTACAATGTTTGCAGAGATAATGTTTTTATTTCAAACGTTTTACTGCGAATGTATTAACATGCAAATATGCCTCTGTTTTGTACATTTAAAATTCCCCATTTCACAAAGCGATATTGCAAAGTGGTCTTTCTTCGCGTCTGAAACCGTTAAAATTATAAACCATCCGCCTTCTTCACCTGCTTTGAGTCCCTGTGACTTTTAATTGTTTCACAGGCTTTAGTAAATACTTTTAATAGGGAGTTTTCTTGACAAAGTCATTTATCAGGGTCTACGACAGATAAGAATATATTTACAGCTTTTCAAAGATACAGTTTGAACAGGAAATTCGGTATGACACAGAAAACATTCTTTTATCAAATGAAGCATTTACAAACTTTCAAACCATTTACAGAACGTATTGAATGAATCTCATAACTCCAGAATTATTAATCGAGTAGAATATTCAACTGCTTTTCCATGGTTAAACTACTAACTAAAAAATGAGAAGATTTAGAATAAAATTGTCGAGTAAAAACAACAACAAAAAACATGCATTTTATTCTGTTGGCTTTTACGTCTAACAAACGCTTTAAAGGACACATGGTATGTCTGGCCCTAGTGAAGGACGACCTCAAGTGCTGCTCTTTGTATTAATTAAGACATGAAAGGGCTTCCAAAATTATCACCAGCGTTCTATTAAGTACATCATTAGCTAAATATTCAGTTGTTATATCTTATGGTCCCTTTCAGTCATTGATTCCAGCACTTTTCAATGTTGAGAATTGACTACCGCTCCATCAAGTGCTAGGGGGCGTGAGTGACGTTTCATTTTTATTATAAATCAAATACAGGCTCAATCAAACCGGGTCAGAAATTTTCATGTAATTTTGCTAATTTGAATGCTTCCGAGGGATTGCTTTCATTCCAGATATTTAGGATATCCCTCTAAAACTGCATTAATTTGAAGTACTCGAAAACAATAAATAAGAACAAAGAACAAAGTCAAGCGGACAAGTATGTAATAAAACAAATTATAATGGTATATCTTAAAAGGAAACGAATCAAACATTTTAATGAGAATGTAAAGAAAAGCAAAATATAGATTAGATGTATGTGCTATCGAGTTGTTGGGACAATATGGGAGGGCAACACAATCGAATTATGATAAATTGACCCTTTAATCATAAGGAATTGATGGTTTTGTAACAAAAGTCGGTTTCATCATTGATTATACGTAGTTTATAACCTTCGTCATGTTTCAGTGAAGTTTGAGGAGTAAAACATAAACACTGACAACAAAATATGCAAACAGAATAACTATATTGTTTAATATTGTTTAAATTTTCATTTGATTTTTGTTGTGTTTCATATTCAAACAAATTTATATAATCTTGTCCAATATATCGTCTGTGTCTATTTACTCGTTAAATTGAGTTATTTTTTTCCCAGCAAAATGATTTTCCTTCCTCTACCACCATCATCATCCGGCAAAATGTTTGTCCCTCTGTTACTACCATCATCCGGCGCTTTTCTTCGTAAGCGATGGTTTTCAAGATGTTCTGTATCTTTTAACAATTCATTGTTTTCTGCATTCGATACACTTTTGCTAAGCACCAATCCAAAAAGACAAAACAGGAGCACAAATGTAATGTGTTTCTTCATTTTGTAATTTAGTTGCACCTAAAGAGAAATATACGAAAACATTTGATGAATTAGAAATGTAAGTTTAAAGGTCACTTAGGGAGATAAAAGTAACGTTCGGTCTAATAATAGTAACGGGAGAGCAACGTTTACTAAATACTGCTCCTTTCACACATAAAATACTGGAAAGGCAACCAGTATTACACCTAGCAAAAAAGCAAAAACAAGCATTCTGACAAGGAAGGCAATAAGATTCAGTCATATATTACATACAACATGTTAATTTTTTATTGAATTTTGAATACCTTTACTTTCCTTTGAACACTTTTCGAAATATTGATTTCTTGAAATACTTTTACTCATTCAGAGGCATGAAGCTAAAAATGAAGCAATAAATAAAATCACACATATATGTCTTATAGTTATCAACCCATATCTACGTACGTACCAAACTGTTGGATGTTTACCCATTCCTAATTTATGTTCGGTAACGTCCAACTTCTTCTCATGCGCACATATTTTAATTCATCCACATTTCACAACATATTCACAAACCCATATAGAATAAGAACATGTAAGCAAAAAGCCAAATTTATAGGTTCATATCGATATAACATTTCATTGTCAAAACTAAAACCAAGAAAAATTGAAATTGAAATACGCCCTCACATTTTATATGGTTGCCTTTTCCTTATGGATTTGTTTCCTTTGCCGCAGCTTTTATTCTAATATAAAGGTAATTTTCTAATAAATTCGGTTATCCTTATTTTTTTCTTGTCATATCGCTTTATAACATATATCGCAAACTATCCTACAAATTTGGCATGCATTTCCTGATTATTTAAATAAATAAAGTGTAGAAAACTATTACTTAATATTATGTTAACAACATTTAATCAAATATGCTACATATTTTCACTCAATACCGTCCCTGCTCGTGAAAATATGTGGCATTTTATCATGTTTCGTGAAAATATATTCCATATTACACTCAAACGAAAACAATATCCTCTTAATAGTTCTTACTGTGTTAGTGATGCAGTACAAACATGATGCAAATCAGTTGTTAATTGCATACAACATGTTAATTATTTCTTGAATACTTTCACTTTTCTTAACATCTTCGCGCATTTTTCTGAATGATGATTATCTTGTAATGTCTTTGCTCGTTTGGAGACATGCAGCTGTAAATGAAAACATTCATAATATCACACGTCATATACATAATATCACACATATCTGTCTTAAAGACATCACTCAGTTATATGTACAAAGTATTTAATATTTACCCAGCCTGATTTGTTCCCAGTAGCGTCTGCTCTTTTCCTTTGCGCACAGATTTAAGCTTGTTGACAAATGTTACTGAAAATAAATATCTAAATATTCTAAATAAAATGTATGCTTTTAAAAGACTTTTAATTGAAACGCATTACTTACAGTTCGTTTCTAGTATTTAATAATTTGACGCGAATGTTCCTGTCTGATCGTGAATTTCTAGTTTAATTGATTCATATGGCTGGCACACTATTTAAATAGCATGAGTAAAACATATTGTACGTTTCAAAGATATGTATTCAGCACTGCTTATGGAATTGTTTTTAAAACCGTGCTTTCATGGCATTAATAAAAATCAATATAAAAAGGAAAGTAAATAAATAAAATCAACAAGAATAAAGACGAAAACAACAAACAAAGAAAAAAATCACATACACCAGAGTAGCGTACAAAATGTATTTAGTGTTCTTAAAAACTAAATATTGAAAGAGAAATATGTTCTTTAGAAAGATATTAATTTTTGTATGAAACAAGTTTTTTTCTTCACCAGGAACTGTTTGCGACTTCACAAATTCGATTTTTATTATAAATAGCAAAACATATACAAAAAAAAAACCGAACGTAACAACATAAAAAGTATAAAAATATATTTAACATGTATTATAAACAATTACCCTAATTATCAAATATTCGCCTAAATGACTGAAATCCTGTTTGGAAACGGCGTAAAATGAAAGAAACAAACAAATTATCACAAAACCACCTGTAAAGATATTAACATTTGGACTAACAAATTGAAAATGCAAAGAATGTAGTACCATGTTTAATTTTATCAATGATTATTTTAAATGTATATAGACTGTGTACGAAACTGTTCTTACTTAATGTTATGCTCACAACATTAATAAAAAAATAGTACTGAAAAATATGGACACAGCAATAAAATGTATTTTGCTCAATTAATATTGCTTTTTTAAGCTATCAAGCATTTCGAATTATAGTTGTATCAATAAATTTTCTTTCTCAAAGAAACTGTCACTTACTTTTTGCAATGTGAGAATATCATACAGCTAAAACTGTTGTACAATTTTTTCAAAAGTAAAACGCAAAAGATTTGCCAACTTTCAAAACAGACTATGTTATGATAAACTTCAACGTTGGGGTGGCATTATCATTCAATATTTAATGAAATACTGCGGACTAAATAGCAATGTTTAAATCAAGCAGTATTATAAGCTGTCTTGAAAGACAAAAGGGTGCAGTAAATACGTCAGCACGAGGTTATAATATGAAAAAATAGCCTCTAGACAAGCGAATTTCAGTGAATTACAATTTAAATGAAATCCGATACTATTGAGCAGATATCATTGTATAGTAATAATTGGACACTTGACAAGCATTTTGAAACCAATTTTAAACATTATATCATATTTAATCATTTTTTAATGTAATAATGACTTTGGAAAATCACGTTTACCTTGATATTACATAAAGTCTGAGTGATATAATGGGTTGTAATAAGCAACAATTTTACACAGATGTAAGGATTATTTTTATTTTCACATAAAGGAAAATATTTATATTTACTGGCTCGGGTATGGTGTCTTCCGAAATAATTTAACCTTAAGGTATTGTTAAAATTACATCGACCACAAGTCCCGTTAACAAAATATTGTCTTGTAGATATAAGTGTTTCAAACTGTACTGGAGCAAAACATCAAACGCTTTTTTAAATGAAGTTTAGTGTATATTTGATTTATAAAACAACCTTTATTGTCGCAAAAATATTAAATTTTCCCATTTAATAATCAGTACTATACAAAGTCCTGTTTGTCAAATGCAAGAGTGGCATTCATCAACGTAGGTATCTTAAATTAATGTTTTATGTTCATAGCGGATATCAAGATCTCAATGCACTTGCTTCAAAAATAAAGTATTTATTCATACATATTTATAAGATTTCTTGAAGACGAGTCAAAGCAAACATTTTAACTGATATTTGACAGTTAAGTAAGAAGTTCTAAAGTTTCATCATAATATCCCGAAATTTATACAGACCGTTCCTGATCAAATTATACTATGTTATATTGTAGTTATCCACAAATTCAGATTTTTGTTGGTGAGTGACAGAATATCTGGAACTTTATTTCAATATTATTGTTATGTCCTTTTGTCGGTCAGAATTGAACTGGTCCAACGTAAGAAATAAGAAATATTGTAAATTATTATCGATGTTTGCAGTTTAAATAATTTGTTTGTGTGTTACTGATTCGTTAAATAATCCTTCAGTAGGTGACCGTTTATGAGTGTTGTCTTTTTCATCTTCTTGGTATTTTTTATATTTCTCGTGTCTTTCGGAATTATTGATTCCAATAAGTTCCACGTTGAGTGTTGAATGATGTTAGAAAAGCAATATTAAAGATTAACAAGGAAAAGGCAACGTTCACAGGACGCAGCTTCCCCCCCCCACCCCCGACACATCAAAGCAGGGGGCAACCCGGAAGGCACAAACCAAAACAGGTAGTGGACATAATGGCGGCGAAAGGAGAGGGACACGTTATATGTGAAATAACAAAAAAAAAAAAAAAAAAAAAAACCGGGCCTATATTGGAATTAAAGAGACATTATACTTGACTGTATAAAATGGACTTTCTAGTATTGTTTTTGCCTAAATTCCTTTCTTTTTGTAATTGTCTTCTAGATTTCAAAGACGATAATAAACGTTGTGTGTGGTTATGTTCAGAAAACCAGGCCAAAATAAAATTAATAAAAAAACATGAGCATTTTAGTTTTACATTAATACCAATGTGGTATTGGTATTCTGAGCTTGTTTTGATGTTTTTTTATGCTGTTGTTGTTGCCACTTCCTTTGCTACACTTTTGCAATGATAACTATCGTAACTCATTGTTTTGATTGTTATGGTTTCCAATTTTTATTTAGCAGTAACTTTAAATGAGACAAAATATGGTATATTCACTTTAGAAAGTTTTCTTTTTTTAAATAATTTCTTTAACGTTAACACCTTTTTAACAAAATCAGAGTTTTGAGATTTACCTAAGAATGTCATGTCAGTTAAATAATATTTTGATTCGCCGCATTTCTGTTCCACATATCAATGACGCTTATTAAGAGATAGTTGTTACTAGTATATTCAAAGGAGTGCATTGCTATATCAAAATTGTTTTTTCAAAATAAGATATTCTGTTTTTGGTAAAGAAAATAATCATATTTTATCTCAACCTCATGATTATCCTTATCTATTTGAAAGCATTTAAATTTTCTATTGAATGTTTTGGTGTTAAATAACAATTTTATGAGACCCCAATAGAGCGATTATATAATTAGGCTTCTCCCATTTAAATACAGTCTCTACTGTTAGATCTAAAATATCAAACGTAAAATCATTCTTAATTTACTTGATTGATTTTTTGATAACAAATAAAGGCACACACAAAGCTAATTCAATAATCTAATCTTTATGTACCAATTTATAAATAAAAAGGATAATGCCTTGAAGACATCATACTTTGTCAAATTGTACCACATGGTTGAGGTTAACTTTTCCATTCTGCAACGGACATTTGAAATCCCATTTTAAAGAAATGAATAATCGTTTCAGATATCACCCAAAGCATTTTGAAATTATAACGCAAAACCGTCTCAAACGTGACAAGATAGGACGTAAAAGATCGGACAGTTGAATTTGATTTTATATAATAATCATTCGTTATGCGGCTCGGCGAGTATACCAAATTAATTTGTTCACCGACACTTATAACCATATCTTTGTGACATTATACTAAAATTGTGAATTGAAGTATTGTTATGTACACATATATATCTTCAATTTGCCAAGTAGTAACCATTTTATGCGATTATGTTTTCCTTTGCGATAAATAGTTCAGCTTTTTACAAATGATCCGGAATTATTTTGTAGTCAGCTGCTCATGTGTATTTGTACAATTTTTATTGATCGCCCTCTAGCAAGATAACAAAAAAGATAGACAATGTTCCAAACAGTATGTAAAATAGACAAACTACCAGAAAGTACGCAGAAAGGCATCAAGAAATTGCTCTTTGTACTAAATGTACACTCATTAAAACATTCTTATCAAAAATAATTATATAGATATTGGAATATTAACGTTGGAAAATGAATATCGTAAATGATAATGCGTCTTGTTGGTTCACCTATTTATTACCGCTGTGTCTTATTACAATGTTTGCTGAGATGATGTGATTTTTTTTTCAAGGGTTTTACTGCGAATGTGTTAACATGCAAATATGACTGTGTTTTGTACATTTAAAACCCCCATTTCACAAAGCGATAGTGCAAAGTGGTCTTTCTTCGCGTCTGAAACCGTTAATGTATCGGTAGATTGGAGAATACTTTAAGGTAAAAAATAGAAAACAATTTTATACCTTTCTTTATCAAGCAATAGCAAACTTTCAAACCAGTTACAGAACGTAAGAAAAGAATCTCATAACTCCAGAATTATTAATCGAGTAGAATATTCAACTGCTTTTCCATGGTTTAAACTACTAACTAAATAATGAGAAGATTTAAAATAAAATTGTCGAGTAAAAACCAAAAAAACAACAACATGCATTGTATTATGTTGGCTTTTACATCTAACAAACGCTTTAAAGGACATATGGTCTGGTCCTAATGAAGGACGACCTCAAGTGGTTCTCTTTGTATTAATTAAGACAAGAAAAGGGCTTTCAAACATTATTACCAGCGTTCTGTTAGTTAGCTCGTTAGCTAAAACTTCAGTGTCGTTATATTTTATAGTCCCTTTCAATCATTGATTCCAGCACTTTTAAATGTTTAGAATTGACTACTGCTCCATAAATTGCTAGGGGGCGCGAGGGACGTTTCATTTTTATTATTAATCAAGTACAGGCTCAATCAAACCGGATCAGAAAAAAATCATGTAATTTTGCAAATTTCAATGCTTCCGAGGGATCGCTTTCCTTCCAGATAATTAGGATATCCATATTAAACTACTTTAGTTTAAAGTATGCGAAAACAATAAATTTAAGAACAAAGTCAAGCGGACAGGTACGTTATAAAAACAAATCATAATGGTATATCTAAAAGGACACGACTCAAACATTTTAATGAGAATGTAAAGAAAAGCAAACGATAGATTAGATGGATGTGGTATCGAGTTGTTAGGACAATAGGAGAGGAAAACAAAATAGAATCATGATAAATTGACCCTTCAATCATAAGGAATTGATGGTTGTGAAACAAAAGTCGGTTTCATCATTGCTTATACGTAGTTTATTCTTTTCGTCATGTTTCAGTGAAGTTTGAGGAGTAAAACATAAACACTGAAAACAAAATATGCAAACAGAATAAATATATTAATTACACAGTTTAAATATTCTTTAAATTTTCATTTGCTTTATCTTTTTGCTGTGTTTCATATTCAAACAGATTTATATAATCTTGTCCAATGTATCGTCTGTGTCTATTTACTCGTTAAATTGAGTTTATTTTTTTCCCAGCAAAATGATTTTCCTTCCTCTACCACCACCATCACCCGGCAAAATGTTTGTCCCTCTGTTACCACCATCATCCGGCGCTTTTCTTCGTGAGCGATGCTTTTCAAGATGTTCTGTATCTTTTAACAATTCATTGTTTTCTGCATTCGATACACTTTTGCTAAGCACCAATCCAAAAAGACAAAACAGGAGCGCAAATGTAATGTTTTTCTTCATTTTGTAATTAAGTTGCACCTAAAGAGAAACATACGAAAACATTTGATGAATTAGAAATATAAGTTTAAAAGTCCATAAGGGAGATAATTTTTCATTCTCTGATTAAGTATTAACACACAAAAGCCTAGATGCATTATTTAAATGTCTACACTTAATTTTGTACAAAGTCAATTGAATATGGCAGATCTTATGGTACATTAACATTTATTAGTGTATAATAAACATATTTTATTTCAAACATGTTGCACAAAAAATTTTCTTGCAATAATGATTTGCACATTACAATGCTGAAAAGGGATTAGATTGAAAGCATAAAATTTTCATAATAAATAAGTATATTTTCCTTAAATAAATTTTATAATATAAGTTTAAATAAGACGAGTTTTTGAAAATGTTTGAAATATTGAATAAATAGAAAATATGATAATTAACACTCGTAGATTTGAGAAAGGTGAAAATGGAAAAGATCCGTCACTAAGTTACGTTAACGACCTAGGAAACGAATAGGGACATAGTGTAGAAGTTTATATCTGAAAAATAGGAATAGGGACTTAATACATGTAATACATGTAATACATTTAATGCAATAATTGACTTTTTAATGAATGAATCAAGTTTCAGACTTTCATAGATTGAGAGAGAAAAAAACTGAATCAAATAAGCAATAGAAAACAGACACATCATGCTCCATTAACGGTTAACGATTAATCATCCTAGTTTTAACAAATTTCGTAAAATAACCTGTTGTTGTAGAATGTTGAAAGTGTTAGCTGTAGGGCGTATCTATTATGACTGATTTTGCAATGTTTTAAAACCTTGTCATTGCATTGTGCCAAAAATGTAGAAAGAAACTATGTCCTTACAATAACCTGGTGTTTACGAATATGTAACAGAGGTTTATTCTTTGGGTAGTTGGGTTTTACATGGTACCAACATAATATATGTCATATGGGGCCTTTCCAGCTTAAATGGTAAAGGAATATCTCATGTGCCCTTCATTGGATTATATCAGGCACGAACGGGCACCCGAGTAGAGCCGTCGACGTCCATAAGCTAGCTGGATAGTTTTTATATACAAACTAATCCAAAATCCTTACCAGGATTCGAACTAACAGCGATGAGGGGCAATTAGTTTGAAGAAAACGACCTTAATCGCTCGGTCACGGACGTCCTTCAACAACGGTTGATAAAAATTAAATAAGCACAAAATAATAAGACTGATTATTGTCATTGTTAATACACTGTCTACATAAGTAAATAAGTAAATCAACTAGTTGTTATACTAATGAAAACATGCCATGCTTGTGTATAACAGAAAAATAAGCCCGACAGCATCTTAATTATTTACATATATTTAAGTTAGGGATTTTAACATAGACCCGAAAGTTCATGATACTGTAGTCTGAAACAACAACAACAAAAAGCGCGGGAATGCTTTTTATATAGTAGAAAAACTGTTCTTGCAGATCAGTTTTTAAGATTGTTTGATATCATATACTTATTCTGTGACTTTCTTTTTATATGGTATTCTTTTAATCATGTTGAGATTAATTAAAAATTCTAAACACATTCGAAGTTGAACTACGCGACAACTTTACAAGACAATTAAGTCAATCGTGCGGACAGGTATGTTTTGACAGACAATTGTTAATTACATGTTTAGTAGTGAGTTAAAGACGTATGAAATCTAAATAGAAATAAATGTGACTGTAAAATAAAAGAAATCACAGTTATGGTTCCAAAGAAAATATACACTTTATACAACACTACTCGGTTAGTTTCTTGTAGTAAATGTTGCCGATCAAACTCTTTAAGCAACACGCCTATAGATTCATTTTACATATCATGAGCATTTTTAAAATAAATTAAAAAGTAAAATATTCTCAGGTGAACAAAATAAGTAATTTATTATTGCAAATGGCCCTCAAACATCTACCAAAACTCCGAAAAATAGATAAGAATATGGACAATTATTGAATTTTAGGCATGAAATATGGTGCTATATCAGTCAAATATATTTCTTATTTTTGTATAAAAGAGATATGAAATATAAATATGAAAGTGGGTGGAGTCAAAACTCATATTTATTTGAAGGGACTTCTTTCGGCATTTTGTTTGAAACATCTGATAAATAAAACAATTTTTGTTGAATTTTGTTTTTAAAACTATCTAGAATGATAGCAAATGGTCTAACTAAGAAAATAAATCAGAACACTAATATCTTTAATTCAGTCATTAACGCTGTACAGACGTTTAAAAGTTGTTTACGTGACGTCACAATATAGCGCCAAACAGCGCGTACAAATAAAATAATCAATATATTACTGCGCACCGTACAATTGCAGTTGCGTAGCAAGCACACTTTTCTTTGATCATGAAATTAGATAAAAATGTTTTTTTTCTTCTTTTTGCGTGAAATATGCTATATATTTTCACTCAATACCGTCCCGGCTCGTGCAAATATGTGGCATTTTACCATGTTTCGTGAAAATATATTCCATAGTACACTCAAACGAAAATATATCCTCTTAAAGCTACATTTAATAAATTTCATAAAAAACTAAATAGGGATATTTCATTAATAAATTGGATTTTATATCGACTCAATGTCTTATTTTGGTGTCCAGACAACCAAAATGAGTTTTATTAGCATAAAAATAGGTAACCTCATTGTGGCAAAATGGGATGTACAATTTCTGTTTGCATGAGAAACTCCGCCTTCGGAGCATCCGTACATCAATCTTGAATCAACAAACATGACTATAAGTAGCAGTCCTAATTTAACGGTATATTTCCGCATTGTAACGGATGTTTTCATACAAATTTTATCTTTTTACGAGATGATTTCTTTCTTTGAACCCCAGGCTTAGCGCACCGTGAAGCTAAAACGGTAAAAGTGTGTTTGCACAAGAAAATATCATATTTGTTGTGCTCGGGATAGCAACTATAAAACTCTGACGTAGAGCATACACGAGCTGATTATATAGTCTTCATTTGCATGTTAAAATTCGTATACGAACTTTAGTGTTACCGTGGGGTTTTCCGTTTAAAATCCTAATTTATGAACAAGTTTTGGTGAGATTTACAACAATACTGTTAAACAGGTTAATGAAACTGTAGAATGTTTGATTTTTAGGCCGACGGCAATTTTTTATATATATTTATTTAATGCAGCTTTAATAGTCCTTACTGTGTAAGTCATGCAGTAAAAAAATGATGCAAATCAGTTATTAATTGCAAACAACATATTAATTATTTCTTGAATACTTTCATTTTGCTTAACATCTTCGCGCATTTTTCAGAATGATGATTTTCTTGTAATGTCTTTGCTCGTCTGGAGACATGCAGCTGTAAATGAAAACATACATAATATCACACGTGTCTGTCTTAAAGACATCACTCAGTTATATGTACAAAGTATTTAATATTTACCCAGCCTGATTCGTTCCCAGTAGCGTCTGCTCTTTTCCTTTGCGCACAGATTTAAGCTTGTTGACAAATGTTACTGAAAATAAATATCTAAATATTCTAAATAAAATGCATGTTTTTAAAAGAATTTTAATTGAAACGCATTACGTACAGTTTGTTTCTAGTATTTGATTATTTGGACGTGAATGTTCCTGTCTGATCGTGAATTTCTAGTTTAATTGATTCATATAACTGGCCCACTATTAAAATAGCATGAGTAAAACATATTGTACGTTTCAAAGATATGTATTCAGCACTGCTTATGGAATTGTATTTAAAATACAAACAACAAGAATAAAGAAGAAAACAACAAAGAAAAAAGCACATACACCAGAGTAGCGTACAAAATGTATTAAGCTTTTAAGTTCATATAACGCAGTCTTAAAAAAACTGAACATTGAAAGAAAAATATGTTCTTTAGAAAGATATTTATTTTTATATGAAACAACTTTTTTCTTCACCAGGAACTGTGTGCGACTTGACAAATTCGATTTTTATTATCAATAGCAAAACATATTCCCCAAAAAACAAACGAAACAACATAAAAAGTATAAAAACTTATTTATCATTTATAATAAACAAGTACCCTAATTTTCAAATATTCGCCTATATGACTGAAATCCTGTTGGGAAAAGGCGTAAAATGAAACAAACAAACAAATTATCATATAATTACCTGTAGGGATATTTACATTTGGACTAACAAATTGAATATGAAAATGCAAAGAATGTAGTACCATGTTCAATCTTATAAATGATTATTTTAAATGTATATAAACTGTGTACGAAACTGTTATTACTTAATGTTATGCTCACAACATTTAAAAAAATATATTTCTGACAAATATGGACACAGAAACATCATTTTAACAATACAATTTAATCGGAAAAGCGGCAATAAAAATGTATTTTTGCTCAATTAATATCGCTTTTCTTAAGCTATTAAGCATTTCGAATTATAGTTGTATCAATAAATTTTCGTTCTCAAAGAAACTGTCACTTACTTTAAGCTATGTGAGAATATCCTACAGCTAAAACTGTTGTACAATTCTTTCAACAGTAAAACTTAAAAGATCTGCCAACTTTCAAAACAGATTATATTATGATAAACTTCAACGTTGGGGTGGCATTATCATTCAATATTTTATAAAATACTGCGGACTTAATAGCAATGTTTTAATCAAGCAGTATTATAATCTGTCTTGAAGGACAAACAGGTGCAGTAAATACGTCAACACGAGGTTATTATATAAAAAATAGCCTCTAGACGAGCGAATTTCAATGAAATAAAATTTAAATGAAATCCGATACTATTGAGGCGATATCATTGTATAGTAATAATTGGACATTTGACAACCATTTTTAAACCAATTTTAAACATTATATCATATTTAATCATTTTTTTAATGTAATAATGATATGGGGAAATAAGGTTTACCTTGATATTACCTTAAGTCTGAGTGATATAATGGGCTGTAATAAGCAACAATTTTACACAGATATAAGATTTCATTGTCACGTTATTGTCAAAATCATTATTAAAGGAAAATATATATACTTATTGGCTTGGCGTTCGTCTCTTCCGAAATAACCCAACCTTAAGGTATCGTTAATATTAAATCGACAACGAGTCCCTTTAACAAACATTGTCTTATAGATATATGTGTTTCAAACTGTACTGGAGCAAAATATCAAACGCCTTTTTAAATGAAGTTTAGTGCATATTTGATTTATTAAACAACCTTTATTGTCGCAAAAATATTAGATTTTCCCATTTAATAAACAGTACAATACAAAGTCCTGTTTGTCAAATGCAAGACTGTCATTCATCAACTTAGGTATTTAAAACGGACTCCACTGAGGTTTTTTGACAGGGTGGGACTGAAAATATTTCGTTTTTCCAAATTAATTATTCAAATTGTAAACAATGACCCAAAATGAAAAGCATTTAAACGCTTTTCACTCAAATTAGACTAAAAGAAGCATAAAACCACGATTTTCGATTTATTTAAAAGTATTTTTTTTAACTATCTTTGCATATTTCTGTTTAAAGCGCCCCAGTAGATTCATGTAAGAAATTCTTATGTTATGTTTTTAGGCTTTTAAACCTCAGTGGAGTCCCTTTAAATGAATGTTTTGTGTTCATAACGGATATCAAGATCTCAATGCACTTGCCTCAAAAATAAAGTATTTATTTACTCATAATTATAAGTATTCTTGAAGACGATTCTAAGCAAACATTTTAAATTATATTTGACATTTAAGTAAGAAGTTTTAAAGTTTTCATCATAATATCCCGATAAATTAATACAGATCGTTCCTAAAATTTTAGAGATCAAATTATAATATTTTATATTGTAGTTATTCAAAAATTCAGATTTTTTGTTGGTGAGTGACAGTGTATCTGGAACTTTATTTCAGGATTATTATAAGTTCCTTTTGTCGGTCAGAATTTAAACCGGTCCAACGTAAGGGGAAAGAAATATTGTACATTACCATCGATGTTTGCAGTTTTAATATTTTGGTTTGTGTGTTTACTGTTTCGTTCAATAATCCTCCTTTTACATTATCACAAATTAAGTTCATAATAACTTTAGTAGGTGACCGTTTATAAATGTTGTCTCTTTCATCTTTCTGGTATTTTTTTGATATATTCTCTTGTCTTTTGGACTTCTTGTTTCCAATGAGTTTAACGTTGAGTGTTGAATGATGCTAAAAAAAGCAAGATTAAAAAGATCAACAAGGGAAAGGCAACGTTCACAGGACGCAGCCCCCCCCCGGGGACAACACCCAAGTTAGGCACCCGGGAAAGGCACCAAACCAAAACAGGACAAAAAGTGGACACAATGGCGGCGAAAGGCGAGGGACACGGTATGTATGAAATAACAAAAAAACGAGCCTATATGGGAATTAAAGGGACATTAAGCTAGTGTAATATGGACCTTTACTTTCTAGTATTTTTTTGCCAAAGTTTCTTTCCTTTTGTAATTCTCCTCTATATTTCAAAGACGATAATAAACGTTGTGTGTGTGGTTATGTGCAGAAAACCAGGCCAAAATAAAATTAATAAATAAAACATGAGCATTTTAGTTTTACATTAATACCAATGTGGAATTGGTATGCTAAGCTTGTTTTGATGTTCTTCTTTTTGCTGTTGTTGTTGCCATTTTTTTTGTACACTTTTGCAATGATAACTATCGTAACTCATTTTGATTGTTATGGTTTCAAACTTTATTGTTTAGAAGTAACTCCAAATGAGACAAAATATGGTATGTTCATTCAATACGTTCTGTCAATGGTTTGAACGTTTTCTTTTTAAATAACTTCTTAAACGTAAACGTGTTTTTAACAAATCAGGGATTTGAATTTTTTTTTAAGAATGTCATGTCAATTAAATAATATTTTGATGTAAAAAGGTTTTGTTTGACTTTTTCATTTGTCGCATTTCTGTTTCACATATCAGTGACGCTTATTAAGAGATAGTTGTTACTAGTATTATGGAAGGAGTGCATTGGTATATCAAAATTGGTTTTTCAAAATAAAATATTCTTTTTTTGGTACAGACAATAATCATAATTTATCACAACCTCATGATAATAATGATCTATGTGAAAGCACTTAAAACTTTTAATGTTTTGTTTTCGCGTTAAAATTACAACTTTATATTATTCAAATAAAGCGTTTAAATAATTTGGCTACTCCCATTAAAATACAATCTCCACTGTTAAATCTAAAATGTAATTCTTAATTCACTGTATTGATTTTTTATAACAAATAAAGGCACACACAAAGCTAAATGAGAGCTAAATCAATGATTTAAACTTAATAATCCAATTTATAAATATTAAGGATAATGCTTGCAGACATTAAAGTAAAATTATACTACATGATTGAAGTTAACTTTTCCATTCTGCAGCGATAATATCAAATCCCAATTTAAAGACATGAATAATAGTTTCAGATATCATCAAAGGCATTTTGAAATCGTACCGCAAAAACGTCTCAAACGTGAAATGACAGGACATAAAAGACCTGACAGTTGAATAATGAATTCATATAATGATCATTCGTAATGCGGCTCGGCGAGTATAAAACAATAATTTGTTCAACCACACTTATAATCATGTCTTTGTGATATTATGCTTAAATTGTGAATGGATATATTGTTATGTACAAATATATATCTTCAATTTGCCAAGTAGTAACCATGAAATGGGATTATATTTTCCTTTGCGATAAATAGTTCAGCTTTTTACAAATAATCCAAAATTATTTTGTACTCAGATGCTCATGTTTATTTGTACAATTTTTATTGATTGCCCTCAAGCAAGATTACAAATATGATAGATAAAGTCCCAACTAATATCTAAAATAGGCAAGACTACCAGAAAATTACGCAGAAGGGCATCGAGAAATGGCTGTTTGATCTAAAGTAAACTCATAAAGACATTGCTATCAAAAATAATTGTATAGGTATTGAACTATTAACGTTGGAAAATGAATATCGTAAATAAGAATTGTCCGATCTTCTACTTATAACTGTTGTGCCTTATTACAATGTTTGCAGAGATACGGCTTTTTTCAAGGGTTTTATTGCGAATGTATTAACATGCAAATATGGCTGTGTTTTGTACATTTAAAATACCCATTTCACAAAGCGATATAGCAAAGTGGTCTGTCTTCGCGTCTGAAATCGCTAATGTTATAATCCATCAGTCTTCTTCTCCTGATGTTAGTCCCTGTGATCTTTAATTGTTTCACAGGCAGTAAATGCTTTCAATAGGGAGTTCTCTTGACAAAGCCATTTATCAGTGTCTACGACAAATTAGATTAGTAGATATTTTCAGCTTTTCAAAGATTGGTTTTGAAAAGGCATTTCGGTAAATGGGAGAATACTTTAAAGTATAAAATAGAAAACATTTTTTATCAAATGAAGCAGTTACAAACTTTCAAACCAGTTACAGAACGAATGAAAAGAATCTCATAACTCCAGAATTATTAATCGAGTAAACTATTCAACTGCCTTTTCATGGTTTAAACTACTAACTAAATAATTAGAAGATTAAGAATAAAATTGTCGAGAAAAAACAACAACAAAAACATGCATTTTGTTCTGTATGCTTTTAAATCTAACAAACGCTTTAAAAGGACACACAGTATGTCTGGTCCATAGTGAAGGATGACCTATGTGCTCCTCTTTGTATGAATTAAGACATGAAAGGGCTTCCAAAAATATCACCGACGTTCTGTTGGTTAGTTCAAATTCATGTCAAGATAATTTTGTCTCATTTAAACCTGTCTTAAAGGAACTGCATTTCTTAGTTATCCGTCGTGTACAGACTCAATTAAACCAAGACTGCATTTTTTTGTTATTTTGCTGTTTTTAATGTTTTTGAAGAATAACTTTTTTTCAGATATTTATACATAACAACAGCCGGTGGCAAGTGTGTGTAGCAGCCGTACAAAGTTGCCCCTTATTTCAATTCAGTGTTGTTATATTTAATGGTCATTTGCAATCATTGAGTCCAGCACTTTTAAATGTTGAGAATTCACTACCGCCCATGTAGGTGCTAGGGGGCGTGGGGGGGATTTCATTTTTATTATTTATCAAGTACAGGCTTAATCAAACCGGGTCAGAAAATTTTATGTAATTTTGCTTATTTGAATGCTTCCAAGGGGATCGCTTTCATTCCAGATATTTAGGATATCCCTCTAAAACTGCTTTAATTTGAAGTTATCGAAAACAAAACATTTAAGAACAAAGTCAAGCGGACAAGTATTTTTAGCTTCATACCTCTGAATGAGTAAAAGTATTTCAAGAAAATCAATATTTTGAAAAGTGTACAAAGGAAAGTAAAGGTATTCAAAATTCAAGAACAAATTAACATGCTGTATGTAAAATATGACTGAGTCTAATTGCCTTCCTTGTCAGAATGCTTTTTTTTTGCTTTTTTTGGTAGGTGTAACAATGGTTGCCTTTGCAGTTTTTCATGTGTGAAAGGAGCAGTATTTAGTAAACGTTGCTCCCCCGTTACAATTATTAGACCGAACGTTACTTTTCACTCCCTTAGTGACCTTTAAACTTACAATTCTAATTCATCAAATGTTTTCGTATATTTCTCTTTAGGTGCAACTAAATTACAAAATGAAGAAAAGCATTATATTTGTGCTCCTGTTTTGTCTCATTGGATTGGCGCTTAGCAAAAGTGTATCG